AAGTCAGCTGATTACACACTGACCTTAAACAAACACTTAAATAACACCTTAACTTATACCGAGAGACTAATAAAATCTTATATTTTAAAACAGCTTTATATGATCCCCTTATTCCTTTATTAATCTCATTTTTTGTCTTTTCAGAACAAACTTAAAACTGGAGAGGCATCTTCTAACGACAAGGCTATTAGTAGAAACACAGTTAGTTCGTACAGTCATCATGGGAGTGCAGACAGAAACCAGGGCCAATCTCTCAGCTCCCCCTTGAACATGACAACAGCTTAAAATAATATGATGGCGTCATCCCTGAGAGAAGGTGGGCTGATAAATTGGAAAATGAACATGAGGCAGGGCCTTCATGAAAAGAAAGTACATTTTACCTGCAGTTAGATTAAGGTAAGCTGAACAAATTTATGAATCCAAAGTGCCTTACAATTCGCACTCATGTCACAAACCATTCAATGAAGTGACCTTATCACCAGGAGATCAACATCTCACACAAAAGCCCTGTGATGAGTGTGATGAGTGCACAAAATTAATTCTACCTACGCTCTCCATTAGATGTGCTGAACAACACGACTCATCATGACCCTTTTTTACTGCAAGAACTATTGATTATCCACCGCTTCTTGTTTTCACGAGGCCAACTGTTCAGCTCAGTTCAGACAGCTTTATTTTTCCCATGAGGGTAATTTGGTTTTACAGGCTTACAACTTACTCAGCCAAACACAGACTCACATAGAAGCACACATTGCATTTAGCAGCCTGATAGCAGAAGGAATAAAGGATTTGCACTAGCGGTTTGTTTTGCTATGGGGTGCGTTGTAGCGCTGGCCAGAGGGTATTACAATGAATTCCCTGGACAGAACATGGTGAGAATGGATAACAGTTCCTTTTGCTCTCTGGACAACTCGTTCCTTCCAAAGGGAGCACAGGTCGCGCCGCTGAACTCCGATTATCTTGGAACGGACCTTAGCACTACAGTTGAGGCTCTTCCCGTCCTTCACAGATAACCCATTAAACCAGGGATGGCCAATCCTGGTCCACGAGGGTCGCTGCGCTGCTTGTTTTCCAACTATCCCTGCCCTGCCCAGTGCTGTTTACCTGGATCAGGTGTGTTCAGTCAAGCAGAAGCTCTTCCAG